TTAATACTTAAGATATGTGCTAAAAGCTTCGCAATTCCGCTTACAAAAATTTTCTATGAATCTTTTAATCCTGCAATAGTATCAACTCTCTGGAAATTAGCAAATAGTCCAATCTATAAAAAAAGGAGACAAACTACTTCCTGAAAACTAACACTCTGTTTCACTTACCTCTGTTGCATGCAAAATATTTGAAAAAGTTGTAAAAAACAAAATCTCGAAGCACATCAATGATAACAATCTGCTCTCTACAAATCAACATGGCTTCTTTCATCATAAGTCTCGCATAACTAATCTAATAGAGACTTTTGATACTATTTTGTCTTTCCTAGCATCGCACCAGTTTATCCTAGCATCGCACTCAAGGTTTTGTTCTCGGCCCGCTCTTCTTTATTCTTTTTACAAACGATCTTTCCCAACTTACAGAAACTTCTGAAGTATTTGCAGACAATACTAAACTTTTTTCTAAAACTTTATCGCAGACTAATTTCGTTGGTCTGCAGGACCGTCTACGCTTAGTATACGAGTGGTCAAACACTTGGTTATTTAAATTAAACATTTCAAAATGTTGTGTTATCCATTATGGTAAAACTAATTCTATGTATAGCTACTTTTTTCAAAATAAGCAAGGTATAAATGAAAGCCTAAGAAGCTCTATTAAAGAGCGCGATTTAGGAGTTATTTTTACATCTAACCTCAAGTGGAGTACACATATTCAATCAGTTGTCTCCAAATCTTTACAAATTCTTTGTATGCCAAAAAGGACATTCACCATCGTTGATAAAAAAATGGCTCTCAAATTATATAAAATATTTATAAGATCGCACCTTGAATATGCAGTGTCTGTTTGGGCCCCATTTAAAAACTGACGTAGCTTTGGTTGAATCTGTTCAACAAAATAGGCTTTAAACTTAAGAAATCTTCAATACTATAAAAGACTTAAAAGACTAAATCTAACATCACTCGAGTTTCGGCGCCTACAATGCGATTTAATACAAATTTTTAAAATAATACATCGATTTGATATAATTAATAATATATATCAACCAAAATTTATTAACTCATTGTCACGTGGCCACCATCTTAAAATAAGACGTGAATATGTTCCAAACTGTCTTCCAAGACACAACCAAGTAACTTTATACTCCACTGTACTTTCTTTTAAAATTAGATTAGATCACTGGTTGAGAATAAAAATCGGAACGAATATTTATAAAACTAGTTGTTTATAATAGTGTGTTTTCCCTGCTCGCTGTATGTATATATGGTATGAATATTTTAGGGCTGCAACTATAATAGTAATAATAATTAAAAACTGTTTTATATAGTCTTGAATATATATTTTTCGTTTGTTTATTTTTTATTTTTGCTTAGTATTCAATTATTATTGAAAATAAATTTTAGAGTTTATTATCTTTATTTAAAATATCTATTTTATTGTTTTTAATTTCTTAATTTTTAGCTGATTTACTGGAAAATATTTTTTGCCATTTCAGAGAGTTGTCAGGTTTGGCAAGTCCACTTCTCATATGTAAGTATTGACTTTGGAAAAAAATAAACCCATTAGTCCTTAGAAATCGGAGGAGGATTGTACAAACACCATAGCAGGTTCAGGAAAAGTTTATTACAGTTATGTCTCTAGTACAAAGTTTTTCTTATATCTTTAATTGTTTTACTTGACAATCTTAAAATCGTTTTACATCATATGGTAATTTATTGAAAAAAATCTAAAAAGTTTGAGATTTGAATAATTAAAAAATTTAACACCCCTTGCATTCATGCATAAATGACCAATTTTACCTCTGAAAACTGAAAGAAAATTCACTATATGTAAATAATGACTTTTCCCAAAGTCATTATTCACATATAGTGGCACCACAAAAGTTATACAATATATTAAAAATGAAAAACTTTAAAAGTATGGTGTACTTTACTGTCTATGGTGCATAGAACATGCTCTAAGATACATCCCCAGAATTTTTTTTTTTGTTTATCATTAAAGACTCTTTCTTATTCCAATAAATTAAAATAAACTTTTTTTCACCAGGGGCCTTGGGAGAAATTACGTAATTTTGTTGTTCAAGATAAGTAAAAGTCATGTTGCATACTCAAATTTCTAGTATGTTGATACTGGTATCAAATAAGGGTGAATTGCAAAAGTTTTAAATATTTGAAGTTAACCCAGCGCAAGCATGTATTTCGAGTTTCAAAATTGAAATTACAAACTGAACTATTAGGCCGGGTAAATGAAAAAAAAAGAAATTGCTTTTACTTAACGTTTTTGGAGTAATTTTTCAGCTTTAGGTGAATAAATATTTTAGCAAACTCGCTCAAACTTTTATTCACGTAAAGCTTACCAATTTACTCCAAAAACACTAAGTAGTTGTTCTGCTTTATGCGAATAATAATTTGAGTAAAATTGCTGAAATTTTTATTCACATAAAGCTTACCAATTACTAAGTATATAACAATTTTTTTTTTTATTCACATGGCCTATTAACTTTATTAAATACTTACTACTACTGCTATTTTAGTTATAAGAATTCAGTTATTACAATTTTTTTTTTTAAACATCTTCGCTTCTAACTAGGCT